AGGGAGGGCGAGTGGGTTGTTGTTGATGGGTGTGTGTGGTAGGGTTGTGGTGCTTACGGGTATGTCGTTTTCGTATTTGGCGACGACGGTCTCGCGCTCGATGTCCATGAGGTAGAAGCTGTGGGGGTCGTGCTCCGGCCGCAACACGAACTTCTCCTCCTGCACAACCAACGATACCACCATACACAGAGAGAGAGAAAGATGTGTGGGTGGGTGGAGAGGCGATTCTGTTGTGTTGGGTCGTGGGGTCGGTCGGCTTACCGAGTCGAAGAGCAGGCTCTGGGCGACGTCGAACTGCTCGCCCTGCCACGCCAACTGCACTCACAGATGCACACAGACAGACACGGACGGACAGACGACAAACGAGTGTGTGATGGGATGTCGTTGGCGCAATTGGTGGGTGACGAATGTGCTTACACACCCTGCTTCTGTGGATGCTGGCGCTCTGCTCCAGACCACCTGGCGAGTTGGGGTTGGGCCTGACCACACACACACACACACACACACACGCGCAGGCGGTCGTCCACCTATGGAGCGAATGCATTGATGTGGTGATTAGGTGTGTTGAGTGTCGAGGTACCTGTAGACTTTGACGCTCTTGGTTCTGTATCCCCCCCGTCTGTCCTTCTGTGGCGTGCCGGCGAGGGCGTATGTGCGGTCGGTGCCCGCACACATACCGAAGTGCACATCCTCATCGCTGCCAACACTGACACACAGACACACACAGACACACACAGACACACACAGACACAGACACAGACACAGACAGACACACATGCGGACAGACAGTCTGTTTGTCCAGTGTTTTTGCGCATGTGTGATGTATGTCAGCGTACCGGTCCGGTTTGCACTTGACGGGCGTCTGTCTGTGTTCCTCCGCCTCCTCCCAATCCATCTCCTCCGCCTCACCTGTGGGACACACACAACACACCACACCACACCACACCACAACACATGCAGGAATGCCACGCCAGCCACCACCCACACCGTCCCTCCCTCCCTCCCTCCCTCCCCGCTCACCCACCCTGGTCCTCAGCATCGAACATGTCGTCATCGTACATATCCCCCTCCCCCGCCTCACGCCTCGCCCGCCGCGCCTTCTCCACCAGCGTCTCATCCAGCTTCGCCAGGAAACTCTCGCGCTCAGGCACAGGCACAGCCGTGAACACCACGGCGTACATGCGGCGGTTCCCCGAGCCGTCCCTCTCGGCCCCAAAGAACGACAGCTGGTCGCCGTTGGCGCTGGGTCTGAGGTTGAGGTCGTTGGAGAGGGTCTCTTGGTAGAGCAGACCCTCCGGCCCCTCGAATGCGCGGATGGACAAGAACGCCTCCTGGTCGGAGGCGCGCTGGCTGATGGTCAGGACGGCCTGCTCGGCGACGGTGGCCCACTGCGTGTCGGGCGCGGTGTGGTCGAGCTCGGTGAAGGTCACGGGCAGCCGGCACACCTCTTGGGAGGTCTCGACGAGCATCGACTGCACCTTGTCGCGGAACTGCTGGCCCTGCTGTGGCGTGTCGAGTATTAGGCCGTACTCATGCAGCCCATCGGACCGCTTCATGCACCAGCGGAAGCGCACCAGATCGTCCTGCGCGAAGTTGCGGAGCTGAGTGGCGACGAACTCTACTGGGGCGGTCTCGCTGTCGTGCTCTACGTCGGATGCGACGAACAGGCTGTCCTCGAACTCGATGCTGGCCCGCTCGAAGATCTCCACCTCCTCGAGGCCGTCCAGGCCGACCAGCGTGCCCGTGATGGCTGCGTCTTGGTCTCCATTGCCGAGCCGTGAGCTATTTGCGGCCGATTTGGTGGGTGTGAACAGGTTCGAAAGACGCGCAAACATCGCGGATGCGTTCTCGGTGAAAACAAGGTGGACACCTTTAAGCTCGCAAACACGATCCACATCCACTTCCCTCTCCCCCCCGCGTCAAGTGAAGTGAGTTTGTCTGTCTGGTGTTGCCGTTTGCACTGAACGCAGCCAGCTTCTGCAATGAAATCAGACACCTCTGTCGGTCTCTCTGCACACATGGCTGGCTGATCGCTCCCATTCGGATCTCCCTCCCCCTGTCTGTTCCTTGTCCTTCACTCGAGTGCGAGTGTCTGATCCACCGCCGCCCAGTCTGGCGGCGGCGCCAGCGACACTCGTATCCTTCTGCTGCCCTCGGGGCTGTCACGGGGGTGGAAGGGGTCCGGCACCTCCAGATGGAACAGCTGCACACCGAGGGATGTCACTGGATGCCGCGAATCGGAAGGGGTGTCGTCTTTTGCCGATGCGGAGCTGGGTTCGTTGGCGAGCCAGATGTCACGGCTGCAGCTGGGATGGTAGTAGGCGTCGCCGATGACAGGACAGCCGGCCTCGGCGAAGTGGACCCGTATCTGATGCGGGGCGTGGCTGTGCAGCTGAACGTGATAAAGCGCATATCGCCCTCCAGAAGGTGCGCCGCCGTCCGACTGAGTCCTTCTCCGCCGTCCGCGCGCTCGCCTCCGCCTCACCGCCCCCATCCCTGCTGACCGGCCAGCAGCGGCCGACTCGGCCACCAGCTCGTATTCCGTCACGGCCAAGCGGCCGCAGGTGGCTGTGTCGGGCAAGGAAGGGCGGAGGCGCTGAGAGGCAGCTGTGAGGCTCTGGAGAGAGGGATGACAGGGGACGAGAGTACACCATTCCATTGGTGGCTGTTGGTTGCTGATTGGTATCTACTTGCTCTGCTCACTTTTGCCAGTGTGTTGAGAAGCGGGGGAGGGACGCCATCGCCATCAAGGGCACGCTGCGCCTCCTTCCTGCACACCCACACACCCACATCACAACCGCCCACGACAGACAGACAGCAATGTCCTGCCGTGCAGCGGAGCGACATTCACGCACCGGTGCAGGTCTCCGATTCGCCGGAGGAAGCGCTCCACGTCCGTCTCATTTTCCGCCCCGCCATCCACAGGCGACTTGGTCCGCCCCTTCTGCCGCCTTCTCAGCGTCCGCCCGTCGCGACCGACGCCGCCCTCGCCCATCCACTCATCGATGACGTCATCGAGCAACCTGAAGTCCAAAACCCGCACACACACTACAATACACCCTCACGTCAGCAATCGGTGTAGTTTGTGTCGTTTTCTCGTTCACTCGTCTGGTGCGGCGGCCGGCTGGTCGTCGACGGGATGGTAGGCACGCAGGTGCAGGGGGCGGGGGCGGATGTATGACTTGAGGAAGCCGTACCTGCGGAGCGACACTCCGTCGGTCGCAAAGAGGCTGCCCTGCAGAGACCCAACGCAGGGCCTGTCGACTCCCTGATGATGGTAGGAAGGTGGCAATGGAGAAGACGAGAAGATGCATTTGCATGTGGCTGAGTGTGCAGTGGTCGACTCACTCACTGACCAGGAAGGGGAGTGCTTGCAGGTGCTGGCTGTCGGCGTCTGAGAGGGGATGCTGGGAGGAGGGGATGCATGACATGTCCGCCAGCACACGATACCTGCACAAGACAGACAAACAAGCAGCGGAAGCGATGAGTGAATGTCTGGTGAGGTGTGCAAATGGCCGACCGACCGACCGACCCACTCACCCACCCACCTCCGTATGATGGCATCGTCGCGATACAGACGTGCTGAATCAAACGGGCAGGCAGGCAGGCAATGAAGAGAAAGCGAATGGCATGTGATATGTGCCCACACACGCCCCCGTCATTAATGCATTCCCCTTCGTCACTCAGCAGGCGGTGGGTGAAGGCGTCAGTGGCAACGGGAACCAACCCCTGCATCCACACACAACCACAACCACAACCACAACCACAACCACACACAACTGAAGCGATTCACATATATGCGGCCGTCTTGTGCATGCTGCCCACCCCACCCCACCTGCACATCTTTCTCCATTCTGAGAGGGAAGTAGAGTGGCCTGTCTGCGAAGGGCTGCAAGGCGGTCTGCACTGAGGGATGAGTGCCGGAGGCCGCCAGCAGGAAGCCGGGCGGCTTGTGCACCACGAACCACCGGTCAGTCAACTCGCCCCACACCAAAGGCACCTCCACCCGACTCAGTGCGTTCCGCATCGACTGACTCAGGCGGCAGTTGATTCGTGCAGCTTGAACCAAGCCTCTCTGCAGATCTTTCCCTGTTTCCTGTCCTTTTAAGCTCGCACCGCGGGTGAATGCATTCATCTTGGCGTTCTGTGCGCTTGCGGAGGTGCTCTGAGGCTGCTGAGACGTTGGGTATCAGAGATCTTGCAAAACTCGTCGGATTTTATCGACCCCCTTGACACGAGGATGGCGCTCAGCGCTGCGGTGTTCGTGCCTGTGGTGGTGTTCACTGTCCTCAACGCCCTCGAGAACATCCTCCTCCACTCCTTATCGCGTCAGTCAGTCCACACACGACACGCAACACACACAAGAAAAGAAACTCATCGTGCATGATGTGTTCAATTTGTTTGGCTGCAGGTGCACGTTCAAGTGCTGTTGGGAAGTGGGGCTGAGCAAGGCGAGGGTCTCAATGGCGCTGGGGGAGTGTCGAAGGAGACCTCCATGCAGGTCCTGGCCCGCAGCAGGGCGCATTCCAACCACACCGAGATGATGTCTGTGCACCTGCTGCTTCTCCTGACGATGGGCGTCTGCCTGGGCACGGAGGGCGGCCTCGCAGGCCTGTCGACGACCGTCCTCTACGTCTACGGGGCCCTATTCTTTGTCATGAAGGCGAGAGCGAAAGGCAGATGCACACAGCCGAACGCGCGCCGGGCCCACAGGCAGGCCGTGTGTGGTTTGTTTGTTTGTTTGTGTGGTCTCTTTGCGAGTGCAGACTCTGCACACGATTGCGCTGCTGCAGAAGGACTCTTACAAGAAGGTGCACATATTCCGACCGGTGGGTGAGGGAGATGAGGGCTTGCTGACCGACCGACACATGCCATGCCATGCAGCCAGCCAGCCAGCCGGCAGATTGATCTTCCACTACACTGACTAATGTGTGCAGGCCGGCTATCTGGGTGCGATCGGAGTCATGTTGGCCATGTGTGGTGAGGGAGGAAACAGCGACACAGGAGACAGACACAAGAGAGAATAGCGGGCAAGGAGGACACCACACTGGGACGCCTGTGTGTGTGTGTGTGTGTGTGTGACTGCAGTGCACTTGACGGTGTTTTGTGTGGCGAATGCCGCCTGACCTGGGTGGGTGGGCGGGTGGGGCGCAGAGGCAACGCGCCTCTGAGGTATGCGTGTGTGTGGGTTACCGTATGGCGAGTCACTTCCTGGCGCCTGCAGCAGCCCCCCAATTTTGATGTCTCTCGATGCCAACGCTCGATCTGTCTGTTTTGTGAGTGAATGGAACGAACGTATGTGGTCTGTCTAGCGCATCCTCTCGTTACACCGTCAGTCACGCCACGCACTGCAGTCATATGTATGTATGCGGTGCTCGCTTGTCGGTCCGCGAGCGCACACACGCACATACACAACACACATACACACACACATAGGGAGAGAGCCATTCTGGTCAGTCAGTCAGTCAGTCAGTCAGCTTGAGTTGACTGACCCCGATACACAGACAGACGCATTCATTTCAGAGACGGCGAGGGGGTATCGACACGACAGACTGGCCCATGCGTGTGCATGGCTGGCTTGGCACGCACACGGCACAGGGCCGGCCGTCAGTGATCCCTCAGCGAGTGATCATGAGTGAGTGAGTCACGCATAGACGCAAATTAACACACACACATGCATGCATGCATGCCATGCAGGAAAATAGGAATACAAATGACTCACTCACTGACTGACCGAAGGAAGACGCCGTGTACTGTATGCTACCCGCATAAGGATACGTACATACTGCTGGCGCCGGACCGGGCTGCCGGAAAAGGGAGGGCCGCGAATGCGACCTGACCACCCATACACACGAATCGGTGGGGTGGGTGGACGGACAAGGACATCCTTGTCCGTCCAATGTCCTTGTCCGTCCACCGTGGCCATCGGCTATCTCTCTCTCTTTCTCTCTCTCTCCCCCAGACCCACCCTCACCTGCGGCTTAAAACTCCGCGCAGGGTGTGATGTGGCCTCTCGCTCCTTCGCCCGCTATGTATCACTTGTTTCAAGACTGCGATACACAATGAATGCTACACACTCCTCTTTGCCCAGGCCTGCTTGTGCCTGCTGTGCTGTGTGCCGCTCTCTGTGGGCACGCTCGCTACTCGCTACTCACGCACACACACACATGCATACATAGGTATGCATCACACACATCCCTCCCCCCGACACCACACACACCATGCCCTCCCCTGGCTCCTCCACCCCTCCCCTCCCTCCCTCCCTCTCTCGCTTGCCTGCCGCTCTGTCGCTCTCTCACGCCTTGGCCTCCTCCTCCTTGGGCGCCTCCTCGGCCTCCTTGTCGGCTTTGCCTGCGGCCGCGTCAGCCTTCTTGTCGGCGGCGGCCTCGCCCTCGCCCTCAGCAGGCACCTCGGTGTCGTCGGTTTTGGTCTTCTTGGCCTCCTTCTCGCCCTCAGCCGCCTCCTCGGCAGGCCGCTTCTCGCCCGCCTCCTCGCCCTCCTGCAGGCCACACACACATGCAGCCAGCGATGGACGGAGAGACATACATGGCACGGCATGGCGTTGGTTGTGTGGTACGGCGTATTTGATGTTGCTGGCACACCTTCTTGTCGTCCATCTTCTTGTCGGTCTCTTTGGCTTCTTGCTCGGCGGGTGTGTCCTTCTTGCCGTCGGTGTCGGTCTTCACCCCGTTGGTGTCGGGCTCCACCTTCTTGGCCTCATCCTGCACACACATGCGACGCGCACACACACACACACAGGAAAGAGAAAGAGGGAGGTAGGTCGTGTCGACAGCCATCCCGACACGCGTCTGTCTGTGTGTCCCTCCCTCCCTCCCTCCCTCCCTCCCTGCCTCCCTCCCGCAGTGCTGAGCAGAGCAGCCACATGCTCATCTACTCGCCCGCCTCCATCCCTTCCTTGTCCCTGGCTGGCTGCCATGGTGTCTGCATTGCGTCAGGCCTACCTTGTCGGTCTGCTCCTTGGTCTCTTTGGTGGCCGGCACCTCAGCGGCTTTCTCCGTGGTCGACATGCTTACAAAAGATGCGGAGACGACGGAAGGGCGGCGAGAGAAAGATCCAAACGACAAGGCGTCTCTACAAGTGGGGAGATGCTAGAGGGGAGTGCTTTTTCGAAGAGCGAGCTCAGCTGCGGTATGTGTTTCATTCCTCCTTTCTGGCCCTAACCCCACCGAAAGTGTGAAAGACGACGGAAAGGCGAGGAGGAGGCTCTCGGTGACGACAGGTCACTGTCCGCTTCACATCCGCCAAGCTTGATCTCTCTCATCTGCATATATCTGATCACCAGTACTGTCAGCAGTCATCCGCCACAACCTCTTGTGACATCCCCAGGCCGTCTGTACTCTTTCATCAAGTGCTCTTTCGTCAGTGAGTGCTGCTGTTGACCAACCTTCCAGGATTCTCTCAGATCTGCCAGCGGTACGTCCATCTGATCCAGCTAGCTACCCAAGAGTCATCCATAATGCCGCACGAGCCCAAGCCCGTCACTGAGGGCGGCTCTGCGCCACAGCCATCCACAAGCAGGTCGGCACTGCACAATACGCACACAGACAGAATCCACGCATCCCTCCCTGATTGGCCAACTGCCGTCCGCCGTCTTGTCTGCTATCTGTCTTCAGCGACTCTCACGCCGACCCGGAGCTGCCGCAGGCCGCCGACCAGCAGCAGCAGCAGCAGGAAGCGAAGAACGAGTCCCAGCCGAAAGTCAAGGTGGTCGATGCCGATGAGCCGAAGGCTGCTGTGGTCGAGGCGAGCGAGGAGGAGGGCCTGAGCGACGCGCAGGTGGAGCGGCTCCGGGAGGAGTGGGGGTACAATGAGGTGACCGCCAAGCAGACGCCCGAGTGGGTGCAGATCGCGATGCGCTACCTGGGGCTGGTGCCCATCATCCTGCTCGTCACCGCCGTACTCAGTGCCGCCATTGTGGACGCAGACGGCAACCGAGACTGGGTGTCGTTCGGCATGCTGGTGTTCCTGGTGAACCTGGTTGTGTGGAGCGACTATTTGGGTGATCGCAACGCCAAGAACGCCATGAAGGCGGTCGAAGAGCTCAGCGCGCCCCAGTGCACTACCAGACGAAACGGCGAATGGGTCACCATGAAGATTCGAGAGCTGGTGCCAGGTGACATTGTCAGCCTGCGGGCTGGCGTGGTGGTGCCTGCGGATGGCACCATCATCGGCGACGGCGAGCCGCTGTCAGTCGACGAGAGCATGCTCACCGGGGAGAGCCTCGCAGTCACCAAACGCACCGGAGACGACGTAAGCAACCAGCGCAACACAACACACAAGACACAGACAGACAGACAGACAGACAGACAGAGAACCGCTGTGTGTACCTGTGTGGGGGATGATCCAGATGTTGTCTGGTGCCATGATCAAGCGCGGCGAGAGGGCGATGCGGGTTACGGCGACTGGCGAGAACTCGTTCTTCGGCAAGACGCTCTCCCTCCTCGGCAAGGCCTCCCAGCAGTCGGCTGGCCACCTCAAGATGGTCCTCAACAAAGCCGCCAAGTAACACACACACACACACAGACAGACACTTACACACCCTCCCTCCCTCCCTCCGTGTGTGGTGTTTTGTCCCACTGTGTCCATCAATGGATTGCCATTACTCCAGGGTGATCACTCTGACGGGGTTCGTGTTCGTGGCTGTGATATTCTTCGTCAAGATCTTTGCGCGCGGCGAGGACCCGCTGCTGGCGTGGAAACTGGCCTTCGTCGTGTGGTCGGCCATCGTGCCTTCGGCAATGCCTGTGGTGACCACCACGGTGCTCTCGGTCGGGGCCGTCATGCTGTCGCGACACAAGGCGGTCGTCCAGCGACTGAGTGCGATTGAGGAGATGGCTGGTGAGGGAAGGAGGGGTCGACAGAGGGCAGGATGCCGGCATGCACTCTCATTGCGTGTGGGTGGTGGTGGATATGGTTGTGGTGTGTGCAGGTCTTGAGATATTGTGCAGTGACAAGACGGGGACACTGACAAAGAATGAGCTGCAGCTCGACAAAGCGGAGGTCGTGGCGGAGCCCGGCTGCTCCACCGAGGAGATCCTCCTCTTCGCGTCACTGGCCTCCGTCACCCACAATCCGGTATGCCAAGCTAACCACGTGCATCCCTCTCTCCCTCCCTCTCGGCGTATGTATGTATGTGTATGCCTCGTAGGAGGCGATTGACATCGCCATCAATGCCGTAGCCAACATGGAGGAGCGCGCCAAGTACAAGATCGAGCGGTACATTCCGTTCAACCCAGTCGACAAGCGCACAGAAGCCACGCTGACAGCGCCCGACGGCACCAGGATGCTCGTCAGCAAGGGCGCCCCCCACATCATCCGCGACATGGTCGCCAAGGACGATACCGACCTCGACCGCATCGACGCCATCATCAACTCAAAGGCCGTCAGGTCTGCTCAACTGTCGGATATGTGTCGTTCACAGAATCACCCCTTGCGAGGTCTGTCTGTCTCAATCTCAGTCTGTTTGTGTCTGTCAACTCAGGGGCCTGCGCACACTCGGCGTGGCGCGCTGCACCCTTCCCCCAGCACCAGCAGCGGCAGCAGCAGCAGACACAGCACCACCAGAGGCCGCTGAGCTGACATGGGAGCTGATGGGGTACATCTCGTTGTTCGACCCGCCTCGCGAGGACACCGAGGAGACCATCCGTGAGGCGGTCCGTCTGGGTGTGGACGTCAAGATGGTCACAGGCGATCAGCTCGCCATCGCAATCGAGACTGCCAAGAGACTCGGCATGGGCACAAACATCGTCGGCAGTGAGGTCTTCGAGTCCAATCACGAGAGCGGCAGCGGCCCCTTCCTGGGCAAGTCCACCTTTGCCGGGTACGTCGAGTCGGTCAGCGGCTTCGCCGGAGTGTACCCTGAGCACAAATTCAAGGTAGGTAGGTAGGTACATGCCATGCATGGTGGGAGAACGGGGGAAGAGGACAACGAGCCTTTCTTGGATGGATGGCCCTCGTGTGTGGTGTGTGCAGGTGGTGGAGACGTTGCTTGGCACAGGCAAGCTGGTGGGAATGACAGGCGACGGCGTCAACGACGCCCCGGCGCTAAAACTGGCAACCGTCGGCGTGGCCGTTGCCGGCGCGACGGATGCGGCCAAGAGCGCCTCGGATATCGTGCTGCTCGCCCCCGGCCTGTCCACGATCATCCACGCCCTTGTGCTGTCGCGGCAGATCTTCCGGCGCGTGGAGGCCTACATCATCTACCGCATCGAGGCGTCGATCATGATCTTGCTGTTCTTCTTCTTTTCCATTGTGGTGCTGGAGTTCGACGTGCCGACGTGGATACTGATCCTGCTGTCCATCATCAACGACTTCACCTTGATGAGCACGTCGCGCGACCGGGTGCCGGCCAGCGAGAAGCCCGAGATATGGGACATGGGCAGGGTACGCAACGCAATATGTGTGTGTGTGTGTGTGTGGGTGGGTGGGTGTGCCGTGCCACACAGGGCCCCCAGCACAGCTGTCTGTGAATGGCTCTCCCTGTCTCTCTCTGTGTCTGTGTGGGGATCAGGTTGTTGCTGTAGCCTTCACGCTGGGCGGGCTCTATGCCTGTGCGGGCTTGCTGCTGGTGTACCTGGCTGGCAACGACACTCACAGCCCGCCACTCGCCTACGACGACTGGTGGGAGGCCTGGGGCCTAGACTCCATCTCAGAGCCCCAACTGGTGGCCTGCCTGTTCCTCAACCTGACCATCATGCTGCAGCTCTCGTTCCTCTCCTGCCGCAGCAAGACCTGGTGGTTCTGGTTCGACGGCAAGACCACCAAGGCGCCCTCGCTCATAGTGCTCATCCCACAGGTCGGCGCACTCGTCCTGGCGACCCTCCTCTCCGTCTACTGGCCGGCAGAGCTCGCACTCGGCGGCGGCGCAACAATGGCGGGATGCGGGTGGGCTCACGCGGGAGTGGTCTGGCTCTACTCGGTCGTCGTGGTGCTCATCCTCGACGTCATCAAGGTGATCACCTACCAGATCTGGTGGGCCGCCACCGACAGCGAGACGCTCTTCTCCTCCCTGTGGCGGGACCCACATGCCGCCAAGAAGGAGGCTGAGAGAGAGGTGCGTAAGCAGCGGCGACGGCTGGACAGCAAGCGGTTCACCAGCAAGGACTACATCCAGCGAAAGGTGGAGGACTGGGAGGAGGCCTCGCGGCAGGGCAGCTTTGCGCCCTCTGAGTACTCGCGCCTCAGTCTCGCCATGGGCCCTCCGTCGGTCATGCGGTCGTCCTCTCGTCTGTCGACCGGTGCTGGTGCTGCTGGGGCAGGTTTACGCGTGACGCCAGGTGGTCCAAGTGTGGCGGACGCACGGGTCCACAAGGTGCGTGGGGTGGGCAGAATGACAGACAGACGCATTGATTGATCTGGATGGATGGAGTGTCGTCGTATGGTTGTGTGTTGTGTGTGTCAGCTGGAGGCTCGTCTGTCGATGCTAGAGGAGAAAATGACCGAGCTGATTAGCCAGATGAAGGTCCTGGCAGCCGCATCCATGAGAGACTGAAGGAAAGACTCGGCCGATGAGTGTCTGAGTGGCCAGTGAGGGCGATCTGGGTGTGGGGGAGGGGGAGGGAGGG